TCTGACACTGAGAAAGTGCCAGAAAACTTTAAATTCCTCCCATTTCTCAATTTGATAGGTAAAAGTTTTATTTTTCAATAGTTCAAAAATTTTTTAAAAGATAAGATTTTGGTGGCAAACCTCTCTCACATCTTCATCCCTACCCCCACATAACCTCTGTAATATTTTATCCTAATAGACTCCCTTTATGCATTTACAAGCTACTATGAAGATATAGTTTCACCTTCTTTATTTTTATACCTTCCTGCAAAGAAGCAAAATCTGCCTGTTTAGACAAAAATATCGCACATTACTTATATTGTTCTGCAGTTTGTTTGCCTAACAAAAAACTCCAGAGATGGGTCCACATGGGCTGTTTTTACAGCTCTGTGGCATCCCACTGTGGAGACAGACCATTGTTTACATGGCCAGTGTCCTCGTGAGGAGTGGCAGGGCTGTTCCCACCCCTGAGCCCCCCGTGTGCACCATTTCACACATGCTTGAGTGCACTGATAGCTAAATTACCCCAAATGGAAGTGCTGAGTCAAAAAGCAAATGAGTTGCTAATGTGCACTGTGCACGTAGTGCTAGAATGTTTTCATGTTGCAATTGCCTTAAGGTCAAGATGCCGTTTACACAAAGAATTAAATAAGCAGAAGCTCTCTCGCCTGAGAGTTCAGAGTGACTGAAGAATGACTCGGCCAGCGTGGCCCAGGTAGGCCAGGCAGAGCAGTGTGGCATGTGTCTTTTCATGCTCCTGCCATCTCTCTCCCTGCAGCAAACCTAGGCACTCCAGGTTAAGCCCAGGGCCTCCAAGCTGAACTCAGACCTGGGTTTAAGAAACACTGCTTGTTGTGGCTGACAGGAAGGATGAGGGGGTTTCCGGTAATGACAAGTGTTTTGAAAAGCAAAGTCAGTGCCTTATTTCTTCACTCTGCTCTCAAGTTACTCAAAGTAGAGGGTACCCTGTGTGTCACACCAGATGCCACCAGCCGGGGCCCATGCTGCTGGGAGAGGAGAGGCTGGTGGGCAGGGCAATGACTTTTTACCGACAGCTCTTAACTCAGGTGCTGATTCCCTGGAAGCCGGCAAAAACATCAGCTTCAATCCAAAGAAAAGAAAATAGCTTTCGGGCCGGCCCGGTGGCACACTGGATAGTGCGCCGCTTGCGAAGCACGGCGGCGCTCCCGCCCGAGGGTTCGGATCCCACATACAGACCGGTTCCCGCTCACTGGCTGAGCGAGGCGCGGGAGCAACGCCGAGGGTTGCGATCCCGTTGCCAGTCCCCGGTCCGGTACGGGGGCAACACTGAGGGTTGCGATCCGTTGCCGGACACGGAAAAAGACAAAAAGACAAAAAAAAAAAAAAGAAAATAGCTTTCTAAACGTCTATCGCTGACTATGAAAAGTCAAAAGCTAGTATTCGTAATGCTCTGTGCCTAAAGTTTCAAGAACTGATATGTTGTTTAAAGGTTTAGATGGCTGCACTGTTAATTCCCATTTCTAGGAAAGCACTGAGGAAAAGGATCAGAGCTAAGGGCAAAGAATCATGCAAGAATGTTCACCATAGTATTAGTTATAACAGCAAAAAGCCCTTAAATAACCCAAATGTGCCTCTACAAGGGAAATAATGAAATAAACTATGCCTAAATAAAAGAATATTATATAGCCATTAAAAATCTTGTTTTCAAAGAATATTCACTAACAAGGGGAAAATAAAATATGCTAAAAGAAAAAAGCTAGGGCCGGCCTGGTGGTGCACTCAGTAGAGTGTGGCGGCGCTCCCGCCGAAGGTTTGGATCCCATATGGAGACCGGTCCGCTCACTGGTTGAGCGTGGTGTGGGCGCGACACCGAGGGTTGCGATCCCGTTTCCGGTCACGAAAAAAGACAAAAAGGAAAAAAAAAAAAAAAGAAAAAAGCTAAAAATAATGAAAATGCAGGGATTGTACTTTTGAGATCATATATATACAGAGAAAAGGCTGAGAGTGGGGTTCGTCAGACATCTAACTGTGATTACAGGTGGCTTTCCCTTTCCTTATACTTTCTCTAATTTTCTGCAATGAATGTGTATTGATTTACAATCAGAGGAAAAACTCTCCACTAAATAGTATTCATTTTTAAAAAGTAGGTAAGATTTTAAAAAATAGAATCAATGCATGGTAATGCAATGGTTACACAGAATAGAAAAGCCTCTAATTAGTTCCCAAATGAAGAATTCCCAAAAGAAATCATTTTCTGATTATCCAAGAACTACACTTCATTCTTCAAAGACCCAATTGAGACTTCTAGATGGCTACTTACATACAGCAGGAACGTCATGATACAGAAAAATCTATTGTAGTGTTTTCTGTTTGTTTGGTTTTTTTGGCAGCTGGCTGGCACAGGGATGGAACCCCGGACCTTGGTGTTATCAGCACCGTGCTCTAACCACTGAGCTAACTGGCTGGCCCAATTTGAGAATTAGAACAAGATCTTTCCCACCCCACCGGAGCGTGTAAGAGCAGGTATGTCTCCCAGATCTTGATATCAATTCTTTTGAATATATACTTCTGGATTATAAAATAGCTCTATTAATGTTTTTGAGGAAACTCTGAACAGTTTTCAATTGCAGCTGAAGCATTTAACATTCCCACTGAGAGTGTACAAATTCTAATTTCCTTATACCCTCACCAACACTTATTAGCTATGTCTTTGGAGAAATGTCTATTCAAGTCCTTTACCCATTTTTTTTTTTTAATGGGGATCTGAACCCTTGACCTTGGTGTCATTTTTTAAATTGAGTTGTTTTTTGCTATTGAGCTGTAGGGGTTTATATTTTAGATACAAGCCCTTTATCAGATATATGGTTTGCAAATATTTTCTCCCATTCCATAGGCTGCCTTTCATTCTGTTGATTGTTTCCTTTGCTGTGCAAAAGCTTTTTGGTTTGATGTAGTCTCACTTGTTTATTTCGCTGTTTTGCGTTCATGCCTGTGCTTCTGGTATCATACCCAAGAAATCATTGCTTTTTCCCTATATTTTCTTCAAGGATTTTCACAGTTTCAAGTCTACGTTTAAGTCTTTAGTCCAAAGATATGCAGTTAAAGAAAAGAAATCAGTATTTCAAAAAGGGATCTGCATCCCCATGTTCATTGCAGCATTATTCACAATGGCCAAGACATGGAAACTACCCCCATGTCTACTGACAGATGAACAGATAAAAGAAAATGTGGTATGTTCATACAATAGAAGATTATTCAGCCTGGAGGATACTAAGCTAAGTGAAATAAGCCAGTTACAGAAGGACAAATGATTCCACTTTTTTGAGATATCTAAAATTGTCAAATTCATAGAAGGAGAGAACAGGATGGTGGCTAGGGGGAGGGGGAAGTGGGGAGTCATTATTCAGTGGGTATAAAGTTTCAGTTATATAAGGTAACCAAGTTCTAGAGATCTTCTGGACAACATACTGCCTATAGTTAACAATATTATATCACACACTTAAAAGTCTGTTAAGAGGGTAGATTGCATGTCAAATTTTCTTACAACAACAACAAAACAAACCACCCCCAAACCAAAGAGGCATAAAGATGTCCCAACTCATCAAAATGCATATATTGGGCCGGCCCGTGGCTCACTCGGGAGAGTGTGGTGCTGATAACACCAAGGCCACAGGTTCGGGTCCCATATAGAGATGATCGGTTAGCTCACTGGCTGAGCATGGTGCTGACAACACCAAGCCAAGGGTTGAGATCCACTTACCGGTCATCTTTAAAAAAAAAAAAAAAAAAAAAAAAAGAAAATGCATATATTAAAAGCAGCTTTTGTGTATCAATGATAGCTCAATAAAGCTATTTAAAACAAAAAATAACAGGTAGATTTGTTCTGGTAACACCAGCTCTACTGCTAGCTGTGTGACCTTGGGCAAGTCACTTACCCTTCCTGAGTTCCAGTTGTATCACTCCAAAAGCAGGCAACAGGCTCATATTAAGCTGGAGTCCCCTTCACACTAGAAGACTATGACATGGGGACCCTGCTGGAAGGCAGGCTCGTTAGCAGAGCAGCAAGTATTGTGAAGTAGACCAGAGATCGGAGGGATGAGACGCTCTGTATATGCAGCATTTATGATGCACCTACTAGGTGCAGGATGGGTCACAAAGCATGAAATATGGCCTCTGGTGGCCAAGTAACACCTCCAGGCAGCACGTGGGAAGGATGCAAAGGGTCACAGAGGAGAGAGGAATTTAAAGGGAGATGCCAAGAGATGCCAAGCCTGAGGCTGGATTGTGAAGAACTGGTGCTGATCCTCCTTTTGGGCTCCCAATGGCGGCAATGCCTCTCCGACCTGCTGGGGATCCACCTGTCCCAGGGAGACCCTCACTCTGCTGCCACAGTAGCTCTGGGAAAATTTCCTCTGTGTAGTCCTCCTGCTGGTGTGGGCCTTTAACACTGGGCTCTGCTCTCAGTTCCCAATTTAGATACAGTCCTGGACTTGGGATTTCTGACCTCCCCACCTACCCCCTGGGACAATTCCCCGTACCTGTGTGTGATGCCTAGGACTGGCCCCCACCTTTAACTGTCCCTGATGCCCTCCTCTGAGTTTCAGATTCATGAGATTTCCTGTCTTCCCATCATTTATGATTCCCAGTGCTCGACTTACAATAAATGCCTCAGGGGAAAAATACGTGAAAAAATAAAATAAAACCAACAAGGGCTTTGAAATGCAGTCAGGGTTTGAGAACATTACTGGGGACCAGGTGTTCTGGAAGACACCTGAAGTGGGCAATATTTAATTCAAAAGCCAAACTGAAAAGGATCAACTGACACGCAGTATGATCCTCTCCTAGACTGAGGTGTCGGGTGTCTGAGCTCAGAAGGGAGGGAGGCTTAATCACACCCCTCTCTAGAACAGAAGCTTTTGCTCAGTGTGAACTCGGCCTCTGGGTAAAGTGTGGGTGAGGGGAAAGATAGCCTGTTTGTTGACTTTTTCCCCCTTAAGCCCAAATTGAAAATGAAACTGTAAAAACACTTCCGTACTTACTGGCATGGTTTTGTCTCCAAAGAAATAAATAGTCTTATAACCGTCATTTTCCACATGTCGCAGGCAATACCTTTTGTCCCATCCATCAGGAAAGACATCAATGCTGATTTGGCCTCCTGCCGGGTGGGGAAGGGCACACAAAAGCTAAAGGTGAAAAGAGGCTAATGATATGTCACCGAGAAAATTTACAATTTACTGTTTGTCAGCCAACTGGATTGCCACAGTGGTTTTTAATACCCTAGTTTGTTATTTACACTACTTTATGGACAGATTCTCAAAATTAATCCTACATCGTGTTTTTTTCTCCCAACATTATTTCACCTGGGTCTAAAAGTGAGCTACAGAGTGCCAACTCAGAATGAGAAATGCATCTCCATTTAAGTGTTCTGTCAAGCAAGTGGGTTTCAATGAAGCACGCTTCTGAAAAACCCAATTACGGCTTCGTTCAACTGCACTTGTCTCGAGCACCCTCAGTGGAAAATGCCTGGAAGCAGGCTGCATCCAGCAAATCTTGCAGGAAAAATGAAAAATCACACTGAAGGTGATTTACAGGCAGCTTTCACAGGTAACAAAAACCCTTTCAAAGCTTTGTCAGAAAGATGTCCACCTCACAGTTCAGGAGTACTTAAAAATCCTCCCATTCATCTATTACACATAATTCCTTTGCAATTCCAGTTTTCCCACAACCCATACATTTATTAAAGCTAGTAAAAAGAGAGGGCTTTAAGCAATGGCTGATTAGCATTGACAGGAGAAATCAGTTTGCAAAGTGTTTGATGGGCACGTTCTACCAAAAGACAGGCCTGAGCCATTCATGCTGCAGGAAGAACTGTGCATCAGACATCAGCAATGTCCACACACTGGCTCCCTCACAGTAAATGAAGGCTTTGTAAACTTAGACAAGTCTCTTCTCCTTTCTGGGCCTTGGTTTCTTGATCTGTAAAAGCTACCCAACTGACTCCTAAGGTTCCTTGCTACTGAAACACTGTATGATTTCAAAACATATTCAGTCTAATTTATCTAAGAGGCTCGCATTCCATCTCTCTGTTATGGAGTGCACTACAGGGTTTCTTTTCTGCCCAAAGGTGTGCAGATAAGTTCTTACTCTTCATTAATCAAAGTGTTCCGCTTTTGACTAAAAGAAGTGCAGGTAAGAAGACTGTTGGGTAAGAATTTAGAAACAAACCCAATAGTCTAGAAGGCATTTCCTGACTGGGCAAGTCCTGCTATGGCTAATTATGCAGAAAAGAGAATGGTTGGTTTTCCTCTACAGATTGGACTGTTCCTTAAATCTCCTGCCCACCTTAAACCAGGGCACAGTCCAAGTTCAAGAGCTCACTGGCCCACAATAAACTCCCAGCAAATGGGTGCCAAAGTTTGAAACATATTTAAATATACAATACCTATGGAAAACGTGAGGCCTTTTCCTGCAAACTCTTTCTGCAGATCAGCTACAAATTTTTGTCTTATATTTTCTTTCTGTGAAAAACAAAAAGATACTGATTATCCATTGTATTGCAGTTTCGAAATTAGTGGCCACAAAGTTGCGCGTCTTATCTTATTTTCATAAACCCAGCCATTCACCAAGAATATTTCAGAAAGACTCACTTTATCAAGTTCGTAGAACTCAATGCGTTCTTCTTGGCTGCAGCTTCTTCCAATAGGGGACACGTTTAACATCCCATTTCGGAATTCAATGAAAGTACCCCTGGGGAGGGAAAGAAGACAGAGGTACTTTGAAAAACACCATTTATTGGGGCAACAAAGATAGATAAACAGGCTAAAAAGTTGGGAAATTCTAAAAGGCAGAGGCTGGAGTGATGAATGCTTTTCAGAGCTGAGCTGTGTAGTAAGGTAGCCATGAACTATCAACAAAAAAATACTGTAGCCATGAACTACCTGGGACTGTTGAGCCTTGAAATGTGGCTAATCTGAATTAAGATTAGATTTGAAAGACCTAGTGTGAAAAATATAATCATCATTAATGTTTTGTATTGACTACTTGTTAAAATGGTTATTTTTAAATATATTGGGTTAAGTAAATTACTAAAATTGATTTCACCTGTTCCCTTCTGCTTTTTTAAAAAAAATACATGGCTACAGAAAATTTAAAATAGCATGTGAGATTCACATTATATTTCTGTTACTGCTGTCGGGCAGAAAATTTGACAGTTAATAGAGAGCTATGAAAATAATTACCAGCACTACAAAAGCAGCCAGTTGTCCCCTGAAGTGTGAAAACATATGTCCTAGATGCCTATTTTGCTAGTGAGCTCTTGAACCCACTAATTTTATCAAGCAAAGCCACATAGAAGAAGGTTCTGAGAATCGTCCAATGAGCCTCGGTAATAACTGAGGAAATTCAATTTACCCAGTGGCAGACTGCTCCTAAATGTTTGATTTGATAAAAGAAAATGAGACCCGCCTAATACCATTTTAGTTACTTCGAATGAAGATGTTTAAAACATTTTTCCCCACCATGTTTCCAGTCTGAGTCTCAAAACAGTTTCTTTTTTTTTTTTTTTGTCTTTTTCCGTGTCCGGCAACGGATCGCAACCCTCAGTGTCACGCCCGTACCGGACCGGGACCGGCAACGGGATTGCAACCCTCGGTGTTGGGCCCGCACCTCGCTCAGCCAGTGAGCAGGAACCGGTCCGTATGTGGGATCCGAACCCTCGACGGGAGCGCCACCGCACTCGCAAGCGGCGCACTGTAGCAGTGCGCCACCGGGCCGGCCCCAAAACAGTTTCTTAAAAATTCATAACTTGTAAGGTAGATAATCATTCTGGCAAGTGAAATTTAAGCACTTGATGACAAACTATGCACTCTAAAGTGTCTGTCAGCTCTAAATGGTGATGCCTGTAAGCCCTGTGAAACATTTTCCTGATCTCTTTCTATTATTTTTATTTTATTTTTTTTAAAAAGATGACCGGTAAGGGGATCTCAACCCTTGGCCTGGTGTTGTCAGCACCACGCTCAGCCAGTGAGCAAACCGGCCATCCCTATATAGGATCCGAACCCGGGGCCTTGGTGTTATCAGCACCGCACTCTACCGAGTGAGCCACGGGCCAGCCCGATCTCTTTCTATTTTAATCACATATCCCCGATCTCAGCCATTCTAAATATTGAGAAGCCACATGCCAAGGACAGAGCTGAGGATCAGATTCAAGGCCAATGTGGCCTTCTACTAGGCTGTGTGACTCTGGGAACCTCTCTGACCCTCCATTTATTTGCCTACAAAGAGAAGCTAATGGCATTTGCTCTGGTTACCTCAGAAGGCTCTTGTGAAAGTCAAATGTACCAGTTTATGTAAAGGTACTCTGTAAACTGGGAAGCAGTATATACTCATCAGCTAAGGTAAGAACAGCAACATCTCGATCAGTTGGATCCCTTCCCCTATGCTCAACTTGCAGAGAAGGAGCAAATGATATAACAAAATATGTATGCCTAAGAAACTTTTTAAAAAACCCCAGGTCCTTGGGCCGGCCCGTGGCTCACTCGGGAGAGTGCGGTGCTGATAACACCAAGGCTGTGGGTTCGGATCCTGTATAGGGATGGCCGGTTCGCTCACTGGGTGAGCGTGGTGCTGACAACACCAAGTCAAGGGATAAGATCCCCTTACTGGTCATCTTTAGAAAAAAACAAAACAAAACAAAACAAACAAACAAAAAAAACCCAAGGTCCAGGTTGTCCTGGAGCTGGCAGAGACCCAGTCTTGTCCCCCGTACCTTCTACATGTTCACTGCAGTACCAGGGGGACTGGTGGTTATGCCCAGGGATGACCCTAGGGTTACAGGTCCTAAATGATCAGAAAAAGAACTCAATTATTTTCCTCCAACTCAAGGACATACTGTCACTCCCTTTGCCAAAGCATAGAGGGAAGCTGATGCATTTTAGAAAGGCTTCTCAAAAACAAGGGTTAAGGGGGTTTATCAAGCATTCAATTCCTCCCTGAAGGCTTGCACTCTCAAGTCTTATTGCATCTGCCTGATTTATGTAGGGCATAGGGTTAGCACTGATCCAAATGTGGACAGAAGCTGATCAAGGTGGGTCTCTGCTATGAGTTAAATGTGTCCCCCCAAAACTCATGTATTAGAAACTTGATCTCCATTATAACAGTGTTAAGAGGAGGGTGGGAAATCCAATTATGGTATTTGAAAGCTGGGGCCTTTTAAGAAGTGATTTGATTATGAGGACAGTGCCCTCCTGAATGGATTAATCCATTCATGGAGTAATGGGATGATGGTTTAATGGGGTGTCAGGGGTGCGGTTCTGTGGCTTTGTAAGAAGATCTGTTGCTCAGGCCTTTCTCGCCATGTGATACCCTGCATTGCTGTACAGAGTCGGCACCAAGAAGGCCCTCACCAGATGTGCTCCCTGGGCTGTGGACTTCCGAGCCTCCAAAATGGTAAAAAATAAATTTCATTTCTTTATAAATTACCCAGTTTCAGGTATTCTCTTATAAGCAATAGAAATGGACTAATGCAGTCTCAGTTATACCTTCTGTACTCACCAGGGTCTTATACTATTCTGGAATTACAGCTCTGCACATCTGTCTCCCTCGATAGATGATAAGCTCTTTCAGGATGGCATTCTGTTTTGTCTTTTTAAAAAAATTTTTATTCTCCCTTAATGCTTAGTCCAAAGTAAGGACGAAACTGACCTGGGATATATGTAATCATTTTTTACTATGAAGAATTTCTATCATACATAAAAGTAAACAATAGGATTAGGGACTCTCAGACGCCCACCACCAGCTGCAACAACAGTCAGCTCCGGTCCGTCCAGCCCGTCTCATCCATGCCCCTCCTGAGATAAGGGAAGCTTCTGCACTCTGACTGGAAATGCTGGGCAGAAGATGCTAGATTTATGAATCCTAATAGCCTGAAGCAGCTTCTGAAGTGCAGCATGCCCTGAAATTCAACTGCCACTTAAAAGACATTTCTCCCCTTGAATGTTACATAGGTGTTATATAACAAGTGTTGAAAACTGGGAAGAAAATGAGAAATATTTCAGAGAAATCACCTGTATCCTTCCCACATACGAATGAAAACTCAGAGTAGCCAGGTCTTCAGATTTGCCAACAGAAGCAAGAAATCCAGATATTTTAAAATGTGAAATGAGACATTTATTTATTTATTTTTTTAAAAAGATGACTGGTAAGGGGATCTTAACCCTTGACTTGGTGTTGTCAGCACCACGCTCACCCAGTGAGCTAACCGGCCATCCCTATATGGGATCTGAACCGGGGGCCTTGGTGTTATCAGCACCACACTCTCCCAAGTGAGCCACGGGCTGACCCTGAAACCAGACTTTTTTTTAAAAAATTTTTATTTTTTGTCCTTTTTGAGACCGGCCGCACCGCGTTCAGCCAGTGAGCGCTGTGAGCGCACCGGTCATCCCTATATAGGATCCGAACATGTGGAGGGAGCGCTGCTGTGCTCCCAGCGCCGCACTCTCCCGAGTGCGCCACGGGCTCGGCCCTGAAACCAGACTTTTAAATGATGGCAATTAACTCATTCAGATTTTAACACTGCAGGCCAACCAGACTTGGCTTTGCATGGGATCTGGCCTGGATGCCTCTGGTTGGAGATTTCCAGATCTGGGGTTTTTGTTGCTTTTTTCACATGCTGTTTCATGGGTACATTCTCTCACTGAGAGCCTCTGAAAGCATATGGGTAAACAGCTATATAAATTTCCATCATAAGGACATGCCATCATATATGTAATCATTTTTATATTATTGGCTTTACAGACTGTTTCCAATTATTCCTTACTCAGTGCTGGGCTTTTGACTTAAATTAGCACTAACTCACCAAATGACATCACCCCACATTCCAGTGGAGACTCTTTGCTAAAAACAAACCCACCTCTTCTTTGGGAGTTTGATTTTCGAAATGTAGCTCAGACAGTAGTTGATTAAATCTTGGATTAGGGCCTCACCCAGGTGACCTTGAATATTCTAGATAAAGGAAATACTGGAGTTACTTGATTCAGCAGGAGGTATTTGCAAAACAGCTTTACGGCAAACCCACTCTTGTTCCAAAGTCACTAGGCTGATAGTAGCAGTGACAGTGACACGCCCCACTGCCTTTTTAATTCTTTCTCTTTCTCCTCTGGTTGAAAACATTAGGCAAACCAGAAAGGCTTTAGTCAAAAGCATTTTCTGCTTCATTACTCAAGATTTTTGTGTTCACTATTTTTCAAGCACTTCCCGGAAGGCCCAATGAGTTTATTGTTGCTGTTTTTATTCAATTAACATATCCACAGACACTGATAGAAAATACATTTGTTCTACTTCCACTTTCTGTTATGTCTGAACAGAATGATCTTACTACTACTAAGAGCTACATAGTACCTCTTAAAAATGCTTAGAGTAAAGCAGCCTGCCCCAGTTTCTCCTTATTAGACTTACATATCCTTAAAAAAGTTATAAAAATTTACTTATCAATTTGGAATATGTGATAGTCACACAGTACAAAATTCAAAACTTTAAGAATATAGAGTGAAGATTTATCCTCACCCTTGTTCCTCGGCTCCCCAGAGGAATTCAATGTCAAATGCCCTTTTAGAAAACTACTTTTTAATAGCAGTTTATAGCAGTTTAAATACGCAAGAGCCTACCTGCTTACATAAGAATTTCCCATCTTTGTATGCTACCAAGCCATTTTCTGGAAACACGTAATCGTATTTTTCAACCACTACAAAACAAAAGAAAACTTAGAATGCAATGAGTCAAAACCTGCATTTCCACTTCTTGATTAATACTTGCCACCAATGAAACTGCTCAACTCCAAGAAAGACTGAGAAAGGCTACCTCATCTCAATAGACCAGGAGAGTGTGGGGGAAAGCTTCTTAAAGGAAAAAAAAAGGCTATTTTGGTGACCAATTTATTTTTTATTTTTTTAAAGATGACCGGTAAGGGGATTTTAACCCTTGACTTGGTGTTATCAGCACCAAACTCTCCCGAGTGAGCCACAGGCCGGCACTTGGTGACCAATTTAAAGGATGATGACTGGGCTGGAGACTGGAGACTTGGTGGCAGGTTATTCCGTTTCCCTGCCTTCAGTTTGCCTGTCTGTAAAGGAAGATGTCAGCCCATGGTGGCTCCCAACCTCGCTGTGAACCAGCAGCACCAAGGCAGTGAGGGGAAAATGTGCATTTCCAAGCTCTGCTTTCAGGCTTCCTGAATCAGAATTGCCAGGGGACAGGCTAAAAATCAGTTTTGTTTTTTTTTTTAAAGCTCTTTAAGTGATTCTTATGATCAATCATATTTGGAGACCACCCACAGAAACCTTATGGAAGGGATTCTCAAACTTTAGGCACTTGTTAAAATGCAGATGGCTAGGCTCTGTGCCTCTCAACGGCATCACTGTGTGTTGGGTGAGGCCCCCACACCTGTATTTAATACGTTTCCCAGGTTATTCTGATAGAGGTGGACCTTCAACTTTCTTCCAGCTTGTGAATGTATTGATTCTGTTGCACACTCTCTGAAATGTACAGACACTAGTCTACACGGACACAAAAGCTCTCTGAGCATGCGGTTAAAGAGCAATCATGACCCGGTAACAGGATTTCCAGGGCTTAATGTGCTCTATTATGTTGCTTATAGCATTTCTAAGCAGAGCGCCTATAAGGAAAATTAAGTAAAAGTGGAACAGAGTTCTAAAGGATTACATAGATCACTCTCCCAGTAATGGTGATCTAATAAATATGGTCTACACAGATGTGCACTGTAAGATATTCTATCTAGAACAGTAGCTCTCAGCTGGGAGTCATTTTATCCCCAGAGGATATTCAGCAATATCTGGAGATATTTTTGGTTTCACAACTGTGTGTGTGTATGTGTGTGTACACGCTGCTGGCATTTAGTGGGTAAAAGCCAAGGATGTAGTTAAACACCCTACAATGCCCGGGACAGCTGCCAGAATAATCTGGCCCAAAATGTCAACAGCTCCAAGGTTGAGAAATCTTGCTCTAGAGGAGCTGGTTCCGAGATCTGAAGACTCTGGGGACCATAACAGTTAAACGGATGATCAATTCTTATAGGCCAGGCACCCCAGTGGCCCTGAGGCTATGGAGACGAATAACCCATAGTCCTGGTCCTCAAGACAAACATAACCAGACGTCTGCAATAATTACAGAGTGCTACATTAGCAGGGTTGTGTGCTAGAATCTCTTCGAGGTACTTGCTAAAATACAATTCCCAGGTCCCGTAGACTTAGCAAGTCAGAATCTCCAGTGGCAGAGCCAATAAGACTCTCCAGCATCCTGGAGTATCTTGTGCTGGAGATTCTGGTTCACTGGATGTAGTAGGGGAGTCCTCGGTTACTCTCATGATTAGGGAACTTGGAGAAACACTGAGTTAGGGTAACAGGGAGGAGACACCTAGACCCAGATGGATGGGGAGGATGGTCAGGAGATGAGGCCTGAGCTGAGGCTAAAAGGGCAGTGACTGGGGACAAACAGGAAGTATTCCAGGCAGAACGATTACCAGGTACAAAGACATGGACACTCACCTTTTCAGATGAACTACCCACACATCTGAGTACCAAGCGCTCCATCAGCAACTCCAGAAACTTATTTAAAGGATTAAACACAGAAGAAAAATAAAGGCAGAGAAAGCGTTTTCCCGAACAAGGAAGCAGAAAGTCTGCCACATGGGGTGGAGGACTCGGGGCTGCCTATGACACTCGGCTATGGGTCCCAATTCTCATGAGAAGTTAATCTTCGGCCAAAATGTAATTGGTGTTGTATTATTTACCATCGTTTCCCAGTTGCTCCTGCACTTTCTTAAAGTCCGACCCGCCTACCACTCCGATTTTGATCTTCTGCCTCAACTTTTGTAGAAAGCCATCCATTTCTTTGGTAATTTTCTACATTTCAAGAAGGAAAATACAACAGTCACGTGTCACAAAATAATCAGGAAACAAATTGCAAGATTAATACAACCCTGACTTTCACACATGTCAATTCAGTTACTAAGTTTCCAGATAAATTCAAATATTTTAGTTGTAATTTGGGGCATTAACTTTTTATCAGAATAAACTTGTTAAATTTTACTTGTCTAATTTTAAACACATAAGTAATATATTAACAGCTGTTGTGCATTGTTCCAGCTGTTTTTCTATGCCTGTCTATATGCATATACACAAATTTTTATATACCTGTCTATATGCACCTATATAAATAGGTCTTATTTTTGAAACAGAAATTGATCCATTCTATGTCCTGTGCAGTGACTTGCTCTTTTCAGCACTATGATGTGGTGATCTTTTCATGCCAACACACAGATCTAGCTTATTCATTTCAAATGCTACACAGCATTCCATTGATGGATTTAACTTGTTAAGTTTAAAACAAAATAACATGAGATTAAAGATGACTAGATTTTTTTAGTCTCTCCTAAAAGAAATGCTCCAATCTCTATAAACAATGGTCTTAATGGTATTTTACAAGGGTACTTCAAAATTCTTCTCTACTATGTGGAGAAATAGAGTTAAAGGATAATATGAATCTTTCCATGAATTTTTTTTTTTTTCCTTTTTGTCTTTTTCCGTGTCCGGCAACGGATCACAACCCTCAGTGTTGCCCCCGTACCGGACCGGGACCAGCAACGGGATCACACCCCTTGGTGTTGCTCCCGCGCCTCGCTCAGCCAGTGAGCGGGAACCGGTCTGCATGTGGGATCCGAACCCTCGGCGGGAGCGCCGCCGCGCTTCCCAAGCGGCACACTATACCAGTGCGCCACCGGGCCGGCCCTTTCCATGAGTTTTTTGACGTACTCTGGTATGCTAAATTCCAAACTGGGATAATTTAAAAGAAATTATAAACTAAGATGAAAGGTTATCCATTTATTGACACAAATCACAATGTTGCCCCCGTACCGGACCGGGACCAGCAACGGGATCACACCCCTTGGTGTTGCTCCCGCGCCTCGCTCAGCCAGTGAGCGGGAACCGGTCTGCATGTGGGATCCGAACCCTCGGCGGGAGCGCCGCCGCGCTTCCCAAGCGGCACACTATACCAGTGCGCCACCGGGCCGGCCCTTTCCATGAATTTTTTGACGTACTCTGGTATGCTAAATTCCAAACTGGGATAATTTAAAAGAAATTATAAACTAAGATGAAAGGTTATCCATTTATTAACACAAATCACAATACTTTTAGCAATCTTTTGTTTTGGGGGTTTTTTTTTGGTGGCTGGCTGGTATAAGGATTGAAATGTGGGCTTTGGTGTTATCAGCACCAACACTCTAACCAACTGAGCTAACTGGCCAGCCTGACTTTTAGCAATCTGAACTGTATGCTTACACTGAATACCTTTACAAAAAAAGTTACTAGAAATTTAAAAAAAAAAAAAAACAGAAAAAAACCATTTAACTCAACCTCAGTATATAAACATCTGGATGAGGGCTGGCCCGTGGCTCACTTGGGAGAGTGCGGTGCTGATAACACCAAGGCCATGGATTCGGATCCTTATATAAGGATGGCCAGTTAGCTCACTTGGGAGAGGGTGGTGCTGACAACACCAAGTCAAGGGTTAAGATCCCCTTACCGGTCATCTTTAAAAAAAAAAAAAAAAATGCAATACCAACAACAGCAAGAGCAATACTTCCATCTTCAAACAGAAACCTAAGGGTACAATTTATTAAATCTTAACCCTTGTGCACACTGTTGAGCTAAATGGTATTATGGTCAGCTATCATGATGTGTTCTTCAATGTGAATGGGGCGGAGAAGGCACCTCTTGCTTCCAAGTGACAGCAAATAGTTTTTGACAGGAAATAAAACCCAGATGCTGTAACCACAACAGAGCATATAAACTACATCCCTCTGCAGTGGAGATCTTTACAGTAAAGTAATTGCATAGCAAAATTGTTCCAATATTCCCAAATACCCTTGTGCTGATAATGACAAAGAATCCTTTATAAATCACCCCAGATAAAATAAAACACAGAGAAAGATCCAAAAGCTTGAAGTTAAGGTGAAAAAAGTGAAATTCACCTTCTAAAAAAAAAAAAAAAAAAAAAAAAAAAAGTATTGGGCCGGCCCGTGGCTCACTTGGGAGAGGGCGGGGCTGATAACACCAAGGCCCTGGGTTCGGATCCCACATAGGGATGGCCGGTTTGCTCACTGGCTGAGCGTGGTGCTGACAACACCAAGTCAAGGGTTAAGATCTGGGGGGCTGGCCAGTTACCTCAGTTGGTTAGAGCATGGTGCTGATAACACCAAGGCCCTGGGTTCGGATCCCACATAGGGATGGCCGGTTTGCTCACTGGCTGAGCGTGGTGCTGACAACACCAAGTCAAGGGTTAAGATCCCTGTACCGGTCATCTTTTTTAAAAAATAAATAAATAAATAAATAAATAAATAAATAAATTATGAAAGTCTTTTTTGGGGGGCTGGCCAGTTACCTCAGTTGGTTAGAGCATGGTGCTGATAACACCAAGGTCAAGGGTTCAGATCTTAGTACCAGCCAGCTGACAAAAAAAAAAACCCTCGAAAAACAAAGAAAAGACTTTTGGGGGGATGATAGGAAATTTACTATGGAGTAAAGGAGGCCAGCAAACTAGGGCTTGTGGGCCTGCTGCCTGTTTCTGTAAAGTATTAATGGAACAAAGCCACGTCTGTTTGTTTACACAGCGTCTAAGGCTGCTTTCATGCTATACCAGAGATGAGTAGCTGTGATGGCGTGAGAAGCTTCAAATATTACCATCTGACCTTTTATAAAAACGTTTGCCTGCCCCTAGGCTACAGTATGAAATAATATTAGGGAACTGGCAATAATTTTTTTAGGTATGATAAGGATACTATGGTTACAAAGGAGGATGTCCTTGTCCTTAAGAGATGCAGGCTAAAATACATAGGGGTGATGTACTGTGATGAGTGCAGCTTAGGAAGTTGCTGCAAAAGAAAAAAAAAAGTAGAGATCAAATAAATATGATGAAATGTTGAATCATATTTCAGTCTAATTGGGCATGGGGGGTACACGGCATTCTGTGTACTATTTTTTCAATGATTCTCTGTGTTTGGAATTTTTCATGATGCAAAGTTAGAAAACAATTCAGCTGGGTTTGTGCTTCCCTTCTTTTTGTAGGCTTTTGTTCTAAGTCGCAACTGTTTTTAGATAGAATGCCATTTTCACGCAAATACTCAACATGACAAACTTCTACTAAAACAGTGAAATGTACAAATCTCTGGAGTCCATGCTAATTAGATTTTACCTGTTTAGGTCATATCCTGTTTTAGCAACTGCAAGAAAAGATAACCTATTCTGCTTCCAGATTGTATTGTGCTTATCAATATTTGAGTAACATATATTAAGGGAAATGTATAATAAATCGATCTGTTGCTAAAATATTTTTATTTTTTACCTAGAGTACCCAGCATATAGAAACAATTTTCTTTTAAATTACGGATTTTAGTTTTTTTGAATGTTAAAATTATTTATGTTTACTCCAAATATCATGTTTCAAATGTCTCAGGGCAATACATTCTGGGTTGCCTGGTTTCTTTGCTGCATTATATTTCATGCTTATATATATCCTGATTCTTTTTGGAATCAGAAGCACTTTCCTGAAGGGCACACCCAAGCAACTGAAACAGCTTCCACCTTAGTATCATGGCAGGGAATGGCAAACTTTCTTTTTTTTTTTTTTTATTGTTTTATTTATTTTTTTGTTAGGAAATGGCAAACTTAAATAACAATGCCCTGAGGCCCAGGTCTGCTGTGTGAAATTGAGGTCAGGGATTCACTGGGTCTCAATTTCCTTCTATTTAAAATGCTAATAACAGTTATCCTACCAGGAAAGAAAGAGAGGAAGGTTGAGAAAGTCCAGTGATATTGTGTAAAAAGGCTTGGAAACGTAGACCGTAGACCACTATGACCCATGGGCCAAACTTTGCTTTTGTAATAAATAAACAAAGTTTTATTGGAACACAGCCACTCTGTGTTTACATATGTTCTACGGTTGCTTTTGCACTAAAGTTGAGTACTACAGACCATATGGTCTACAAAGACAAAAGTACTTACTATATGGTCCTTTAAAAAAATGAATTGCTGTCCTCAGCTCTAGACCATATGGGCTTTTAACAACCCACAAGTATGTATTGATTGCTGAACCTCAAAGTTAGAAAGGGCCTTTGGAGAACTTAGGGTGTCATGTCTGGATGGATCAAACCTGTGGCTCAGAGGAGTAAAGATATGTCTAAGGTCACACACATTTGACATGAAATTCTGGAACATACCACTACTACCACCCAGACCAAACTAAGGGGGTTGGGGGTACAAGCTAAGGACAGTGAGGCCACTTGGGCCCAGTTTCGAGTTCGAATGGCTGATGTTCAGCGACCAGTTTGTGCGAGGGAGACAGAGAAAGAGAGCGCCTCATTGCAAGGTTGATCTTAACTGAAATTTAACTGTCCCTGCAGCAGCAAAATCTGGGAGTGGGGAGCAAGTTTCCAAGGGCCCAAAAAAGCTCTCAGTAGGTAGTCTGGAATAACCTAGGATTCCTCCCTCAACCCAGTCCACTGCCGGGGCTGGAGAGGGGTGTGGTGGAGGTGGCTAGTATTTACTGAGGCTTAGTTTGTGCAAGATACCTTCATGAACTTACGTGATTTCCTTTGACCCTCACAAACACCATACGGAACAGGTAATGTCTCCACTTAAAGTGGCAGATGCTGAGGCTCAGTGGTTAATTGCCTTGCTCAAACTCACACAGCTGTCAAGAGGTGAAGCTGAGACTCCACTAGGTCTGTTTGACCTAGAAACCTATGTTTTTAATATCATACTACACGGTACAGCTCATTGGCGACAGAACTAAGGAGGGCACCTGGCTGGTAATGGGGCCTGAGCTGGGGTTCAAATCCTGGTCTGTCAGTCCCCAGGGCTTGCGGAGTGAGTCCAGACTACATTTTTCAATCCTATACAAGTTTCCTGCTTTCAATGTCTCCCATGAGCACATATCTCCGAGCACCCTGAGGTCTTAAGAGCTGGTTAGGGGCTTCTGTCTCAGGCTTCCAGGGCGCCCAGAATAGGGCTGAGCCCCCGGAGGAGGAAGGCGGTCCTCAGCCGCCTCTCGGTGCCCACCCTGGGCGGTCGTTATCCCCATCTGGCAGCAGCAAGGCTACACCGCCTACCTGCCGCGGGGCCGTCAGGGTCCCATCCACGTCGAAGAGGCAGAGCGCAGTGCCGGGCGCCGCCATGTCCCTAGTGTTTGTCCGCACCTAACAAGACTCGTTGGCACCAGGAACTCGGCCCGGAACTTCCTAGTTCCACTCCCGCGCCGCAGGGCACGTCGGGAAAAGGAGAATCCCACAGGCTCCTACAATGCTCGGACCACAACTCCCAGCATGCAACGCGCACCGCGCTGTCCTTGTACATCCGAGCATGCGCTCTGAGAGGTTCCGGGGGCAGGAGGAATTCACTTCCGGCAGCGGGCTGTGGGGCCATGGTAAGACGGCGGGTGGTGGTCCATGTGGGGGAGTGACGTGCTTTGGGGGTCTGGGTTGGGCGTCCGGGTCGGGCGTCCGGGTCGAGGCAGGCAGGTAGGACCTCTGGGTTTGTGACTCGGAGGGCCCACGGGAGGAAGCTTTTCACCGGTTTCCTCTGCCCTCCTGGGGTCACATGAGCCAGCCGTAGCGATAGTGAAAACTCGCTGAGCGCTCACCGTGCATCAAGTACTAAGTTGAGGGCTTTAAAACCGTTATCTCGGCCAGTATATTTTGAGACCCCATTTTGAAAGGTGAGGAAACTGAGGCTCAGAGAGGTGGAATAACTTGTCGGAAGATCCACAGCTAGTGACTTTTGGAGCCAGTATTAGAATCCCCATCTGGCTCCAAACCCCAGAGCTTTTCCTACTGCACTACTCACCTCATAAAGTCCTTTTGCTACAGGTTGGGGCCTACCCGCCTCATTTCTCCTCTGCTGGTCCCCGTTCCCCAAACTAGGCGAAGTTAAAACTGCAGTTTCCTTCAGCACACAAGATAACACATAAACCAGATGGAGAATTGGAACGTTTTTGTGGTAAATATGTCACACATTTGTTGCTCGAGTTCTCTACTAGGATATTGATTAGTTTACTGCTTGTGGAAATGTTCACACAGTCTTGTGGATCCAATGTGCAGCCCAGAATTGACCCTCCTTAGGTATTTGTTGAATGAATGAAGTCTGCACCTCCTTTCCTATACTTGGAACTACCTGGAGGAAAGAGAACCAGTTGTAGAGTCAGACTCCGTTTCACTCACTCTCTGTGTCATTGGGTAAATTTCTTACTCTCTCTGGGCTGTTTCCTTAGTGGTAAAGTGGAAGTATTTTGAATAACTTTTGTGAAGCTCACATGCAGTAAAGCATCTGGCTTTACCTTTCTCTCCTTCTCTGGCAATAATGGTGACCTTGCAGGATTGCTGGAAGCCTTCGTGTACTGTGCTTTGCAGGTATTCATTATGTGATTAGCAGGATTGAGTTCCATGAGAGAAATGATCCCCTGTCTCCTTTTCAGGCTGCCCTCCTTCGAGCTGTGCTGAGGTTTCGGGGGCCAGCTGTGTGGGGAAGGCCTCTCCACGGGCTCTGGTGCTGCAATGGGCAGGAGGATCCCAAGAGGTGGTTGGGTAGCAAGTCTCCCACTTTGAAGGAGAAACCAGCAGGTACAGAGACTGAGAAATTTCAGATGATCTACCGTTTTAATGCCATCAGATTCTTTGGGTACATGTCTCGGCTGAAAGTGGTACAAACTGCCCTGACAGTGGTGGCTCTGCCGCCGGGCTGCTACTGGTACTCTGAGGGCCTGATAACTCTCAACTCTCTGTGCCTTGTGAGTGGGATCGCTGGCTTTGCCCTGGCCATGCTGTGCTGGATGAGCTATTTTTTCCAGAGGCTGGTGGGCATCTTGTATGTGAACGAGTCCGGCACCATGCTGCAGGTGGCTCACCTGACCTTCTGGGGCTGGCGGCAGGACACATACTGTCCCGTGGCAGATGTGATGCCTCTGACAGAAACCAAGGACCGGCCCCAGGAGCTGTTGGTGCGTATCCAGCAGTACAACAGGAAACAGACCTTCTACCTCACCCTGCGCTATGGACGCATCTTGGACAGAGAGCGTTTCACACAGGTGTTTGGGGTGTTGGACAAGCTCAAGTGAACACCTGGGAGCTGGGCTTCCAGGTAGCCCTGGGCTACCTAGATCTCTGACAGGAAGACTGAGGGTGTGGGAAGGGCTGAAGACGGGAATCAGGCACCTGGACACTTTGCCAGGGCCCCTGGGAACTTGTCTTTTGGAATGAAGAAATTCATGAGGCAGAAGCTAATAACCAGATTTAGGAAAAAGGCCTTTGGTGCAAATTCTTATATCATTTGTGTTGGACATTCAGTCATATAATGTCCAGAAGTTTCTGTTAAGAGCCCGTTGTTGGAGGAAGCTATGCCAAGTTTACCCAGATAGTCTGCTGCTATGAAATTGGAAGATGGAGAGAGGTGGCCGGGAAGCACAGGCTTTGGAGTCAGATGACTTGGGTTCTGTCAGCTCTCAACTCCCTCTCCTGAACATTGGTTTCTTTTTTTTTTTTAAAAGATGACTGGTAAGGGGATCTTAACCCTTGACTTGGTGTTGTCAGCACCACGTTCACCCAGTGAGCTAACCGGCCATCCCTATATGGGATCCGAACCCGTGGCCTTGGTGTTATCAGCACCACACTCTCCTGAGTGAGCCACGGGCCAGCCCTGAACATTGGTTTCAACATCTGTATAGTGGAAAGTCCTGCCTGTCTCATGGGATGAGTGAGAATAAACAATAAATGTCTAGTTCTTTGCAAACCCAACAGTCCAGAGCAAATATTAAGCACGTGGGCAGAGGTTATGGCATGGTGGAAGTCTTCCAGGCAGCCAGTAGGCATTTCCAGAGCCCTGTGCTGTGGCCCTTCATGTACCCAGCAACACAGGGGACTGGGATGAATCCTAGAGTGGGGTCATTTCATCCCACCAGGATGGTAACTACACACTGAGTGGGACAGGGATGTCATCAGGTGAGCACAACTGCCCAGCCGAGATTCTGTTCAGCACCCAGAGATGAAGTGGCTCTCACATGGGAAAGCTTTGCAGTGTAATAAAGCCAGATGGACTGAATGCTCCTGCATTATTTTATTAACTGAGTCCAGTTATATGCATTGCCCCCCATAATCAATAATGTTTATTATACGATTTGTAACAGTAAAGAAGAAGGAAGTCATGATCTTTATAATTTTGCCACTCAGAAGTCACTGAATGTCTTGTTGTGTAGCCTTCCAGTCTTTGTTTTATTGTTGTAAAATATAGAAAACAATTTATCCTTTTAACCATTTTTAAGTGTATAATTCAGGGACATTAAGTACATTTACAGTGTTGTATAACCATTTCCAGAACTTTTTTATCGCCCCAAACAGAACCTCTGTGCCCATTAAACAATAAACGCCACCACACCCACCTCCAACCCTTGGTAATCACTAATCTGCTCTCTGACTCTCTGAGTTTGACTATTCTGGATATTTCATATCAATAGAATCATACAATATGTGCCCCCCCTCTTTTTTTTTTTTTAAAGATGACCGGTAAGAGGATCTCAACCCTTGGCTTGGTGTTGTCAGCACCACGCTCAGCCAGTGAGCGAACCAGCCATCCCTATATAGGGATCCGAACCCATGGCCTTGGTGTTATCAGCACCGCGCTCTACCGAGTGAGCCACGGGCTGGCCCTGCCCCCCCCTTTTTTAATTGTCAAATCATGTTTAGTGAAATGGATTATTTTAGAAGCTTGTGGCATAGTATTCCTGAAGAAATGCTTCCCAAATCTTTTTTAGTTTGATTTTTATTATTTATTATTAGCATATTCATTATTACAAATCGTGATTTTTCTTTATGCCCTTTACCTGACCTATCACTCCCCAAACCCCCTCCCTCCTTCCAGATATGTACCCTTTTGTGCCTGGCTTCTTTCACTTGGTGTAGTGTTTTCAAGGTGCATCCATGTTCTGATGTGTCAAAACGTTTATTATTTTGTCAGAACTTAATTCGTTTTTTATGGCTGAATATGTATATATCACATTTTATCCATTCATCAGTTGATGGACATTTGGATTGTTTCCACCTTTTGGCTGTTGTGAATAATGCTACTATGAACATTGGTGTACAGGTGCCTTAGACCCTGCTTTCAATTCTTTTGGGTACATACTGAGAAGTGGAATTACTGAATCCTATGGTAATTGTGTGGGGACTTGCCAAACTTCCACGGCAGCTGCAACGTTGACATTCCCACCAGCCATGTACAAGGGTTCAGGTTTCTCTCCATCCTTGCCAACACTGGTTGTTTCACTTTTTTAATAATAGCCATTCTAACAGGTAGTATCTCCCTGTGCTTCCACATTTTTAAAAAACATAGATGTTATGTTGTACCTAAAATTGTTTTTTTGCTTCATGTTATAACACAGACTATTTCAGTTATAAGCATTCATTAACTATTAGGTCATTTCTATTTTTTCATTGTTATAAAGAATGTGATAAATATCAAATATATGTTGTGATGTCCTTTCTCTGTGTAGACTGAAAATGGCATTTTGAGAAAAGTGACTTTTTTATAATCAAGGTAACATGAAAGAAGTCAGGTTTTCTTATTTGATTTCTTCTGTTTTAGAGAAGCAAGTAAAGCATATAATTCAAGACAGTTTGTTCCTGTCAAATCTGTCAATCATTCCACCCAAACTTCTTGAATATGTGCCTTGTGCCAGACTGCTTCTGCAGAAGGCACTGAGGTTAATAAAAGAGGAGGGTTTTTGCCTTTGTGGAGCTTAAAGTCAAGTAGGGAGGGGAGAGGTGGAGAGGGAGGACAGACAGATGAAGAGTATAATTACAGATGGTGACACGTGCAGTAAAAGTAGGTTGCTTTGAGGCAGGATGGCAGGAGGGGGCATGAAAGGTCCTGGAGGAAGCGGCTGGGGGGCATTTGAGCAGAGACCTGAGGTGTGAGGAGGAGGCAGGCACCAAGCTGTTTCAGGCGGAAGGAACAGCAAGTGTGTGCTTCTGCGCTGGACAAGAGCTTGGTGCACTTGCTAAAGGGAGGAGCCTGGATTTTATCCTAATCACCATGGGAAGCCTTTGAAAGATGGAGAAAGGAAGAGAACTGTGAAAGAAAGTTTGGGAGTTTCTAAGAACAAGAGGAAACGGCTCCTTTTCTTTTCATTCTTTTATTTATTTTTAGTTAAGGATGTAAATGAAAGGATATAGGCCTACAGATGGTTTCATTTGTTAAATTCCCACCACACGTTAATTCCTGCCAGCTGGAGAAGGTGGCCTAGGGAGTGAATGTGCGTGTGTCCCTCAGATGTTTGGAGATGCTGGGCACCCACTGTGAGTGCGGGTCCATCTGAGACTGTCCTAGTCAGAGGGGCTGTGTATGCAGGACCACGCTCTTGTGTGCATGATTCTGTAAGTTTGGTCCAGAGCCACACCACAAACCCACTCACAAGGGTTGGCTCCTTCTTCAGGGTAAATGGTGCATGCTTCTGTTGACTTACCATTTTATGATGGCCGTACTTTAAAAATATAACCAGAATCCGATCACCTGTCTCCTCCACCCCTACCATTGAGCATTGCAATCTAGTGCTTCTATCCTTGCCTGCTAGTGTCTATTCTCATGGCAGTCAAAGCGATCTTAAAAAGAACGAGGCTGGCTTGTTAGCTCAGTTGGTTAGAGCATGTTGCTGATAACGCCAGGGTCCAGGGTTCAATCCCTGTACAGCCAGCTGCCAATAAGTAAATAAGAAAAAAACCAAATCACACCACTATGCTGTAAAAGCTTACCCCACTCCCACCCTCATCCACAATTCTGCCGTAGATCACTTCTGTATGTGACATTCACCTTGCTGTTCTTCCAGTAACCAAGGACACTCCAGCCTCAGGGCCTTTGCACTGGCAGTTCCCTCTACCTGGAAGCCTTTCTCCCTGGATAGAGTACTGACACCCCTATCCCCTTAGTTTCTTCCTCTGTATAACAAGGTATTACCATTTATGCTCAAGATGTTGTAGTGAAGACTCCATGCAGTCATGTGCCACATAAGGATGTTCCAGTCATGGTCAGTGATGGACCACATATATGATGGTCCCATAAGATAATGGCTATACCACATAGCCTAGGTCTGTAGTAGGCTATACCATCTAAGTTTGTGTAAGTAGGATCTATGATGTTTGCACAATGACGAAATCACCTAATGACACTTCTCAGAATGTATCCCTGTTAAGTGATGCACGACTGTATATAGAAGAGGCAATTATATAGCAATTACATATGCTCATCCGTTCCCTTCTGTACCCTTCCTTCATCTGCTTATCAGTTCCTTTTGTAACTAACTGTGAATCCATTCCCCACAAAGACATAGTCCGTGGTTATAAAATGTCTTAAGAGGTTGTCAACCAAAGTAAAATAACCAGTTAGTTGAGAATTAAACAAAGGTTTATTTGAGAGCTCATTAAGACTGCAGCTGGGAGACACAGATTCAAGTGATCTTGAACATGTGCTCCCGGAGAACAAAGCGAAGTTAGGGGGTATTTAAAGGAATATGCCTTTGAAAAGGAGGGGGCAGTACAAAAGTTGATTGGTGTTAACGTGTCAAACAGCCTTGTCCATAAGGGACTGGACTCATAATCTGGGACCTTCTGGTTTGGCCAGAAGTAGGGAAAAGTATTGAACAGGTTTAGTCAGCAGTTGTTCCTCCAGAAGGTCGTGACCCTTGGCGGTGCTGAGTGCAAACTTCCAGAATGTTTTCAGTTAAGACGTGCCTGAAACTCAAGCTGAGATGGTTTCCAGGCTCCTTTTTAGGTGCCTTGACAGGATTGACAACATTTTCCCTTGTCAAGGTATTAATGATTTGGCCTTAACCTTATTAAAACCAAAAATGTACCCAACCCCCAGTGTTGGGCTACTTGTAAGCAATTACCTGAGTAAGCTTCGTCCCTAGAGATACTGATTTTGATTATGTCTGGGGTGGGTCTCCAGAATCTGTCTTTTTGACAAGCTTGAAGCCAATTCTGAGATGTGGGCAGGCTGGGAATTTCTGAAATAGACTACCGGGACACAAGTCATGAGAGTGACACATGCTTCTGTGGACTTTGTGTCCCT